GAGCACGTACAGTCGTCCTTAATTTCCTAAGAGGTAGTCTGTCAGCATCATGCCTCGAACTTTGGACTTTAACACTAGGCCATGAGAATAAAACCAGTTGAAATTTTCAATTATAATTATTATCCATATTCTAAACTGGCAACAGAATTTCTGATTTTGCTCTTAGATTGTTTGTAGTTAAGCACAAAGCTACACAATGAACTATCTGTGTTGTGCCCACCACGAGTATCTAAACCCGCTTTTTTAGCGTTGTAAGTCCGCAGATATACCGCTGAGCCACTGGGGGTTTCGATTTTGCGTTGTAAAAATAATAAAAATACAACATGAAAATGTACGATAAACAGATATTGAAATAGCCTTACTTATGTAAATGGATGTGCTTATCGATTAGCTCTAAGGTTTTATAACGCTAAAGACCGGGTTTCGATACCCGTGGTAGGCACAGCTCAGAGAACTCATTGTGTAACTTTGCACTTAACAACAAGGGTTAGACGCCCGTAGTGAGCACAGAACAGAAAGCTAACTGTGTAGTTTTGTGCTTGATTACAAACAAACAAATACAGTGATACCCGGAGCCGGTATTTGAAAGGCATCTTGGTCTATTACTAAAGCTAGAATGAAAACTTTTGATGCGCATTATGATCTTACGAGGTTTACTAAGACATGTTAGCATGCATAACATGGTCTAAAGAGGTTTAATAAGGCATCTTAGCTAGAACATTCATCTTCATAATTTTTGTTTCAAGTCAAAAACTCGTGCTGCATTGTTGATCATTTTTTCATGGTTCTGTGGAATTAAACAATTGTATTGATACATTTTTTTATGTTTTTTTTTCTTAAATTAAATTCTTGTATCGTTAATTTCTTCATAGTTTTGTGGAATCATACTCTTGCTCTTGTGCTGTTAATTTATTTGTAGTTTTGTGGAAATAAATTCTAGCCATGCTGCTCTAATGTTCGTAAAACGTATTGGAATTAGTATTTGGTTATATTGTTATTAGCTGGGCGTGGACGGAGTTATGCTACCGCGAAATCGCGATCCACACGTAGAAATAAATTGTGGTTATATGCGCTGTTACTCTCGTGATTTTGGGAACTATATTTCAAGTAAATAAAGTGTGGTTATATGCACTGTTACTCTCGTGATTTTGGGAACTATATTTCAAGTAAATAAAGTGTGGTTATATGCACTGTTACTCTCGTGACTTTGAGAATTATATTTCAAGTAAATAAAGTGTGGTTATATGCACTGTTACTCTCGTGGCATTTTGGGAACTATATTTCAAGTAAATAAAGTGTGGTTATATGCACTGTTACTCTCGTGATTTTCGGAACTATATTTCAAGTAAATAAAGTGTGGTTATATGCACTGTTACTCTCGTGATTTTCGGAACTATATTTCAAGTAAATAAAGTGTGGTTATATGCACTGTTAC